CGTCCGACGTCCGTTCTCGACCGTTAAAAATTCACAACTCTCTCGTCCGACGTCCGTTCTCGACTGTCTTTATATTGACGGACTATTAACAAGATCTTCGATTCTCGTTTATATTGTTTTTCCTAACAGTCGACCGATTTTAGTTTCGGTTTCTGTGTCGCATACTGCTATGCTGAAGCTTCTAAAAATCACAACTTCCCCTCATGAAGTCAGATTTATGCCTTCTTTATATGCACGCTCTCGGATTTACGACTACTATGAATTTCGTTTAGAATACTTAGGCCATTAAGCGATCTATCTCCGATTCACTATTTACGATAATCAGAGTCGTGTAAATTTCATCGTGAAATTTCGAAGAAGCATAACTTCTTCATACGAAGTCGGATTTCAGATTTCTTTATATGTACAGAATCTTTGTCACATATACTATAAATTTGGTTAAGATTATTTATCCTAAATAATATTCTATCAAAAAATCATTTTTAACGTTTATTATATCTTAATTGACTAGCCCGAATCTGCAGGTGTTACAAAAACACTAAAAATTGATATCGACATGACCCTTCTTACATATTTTTCTTTTTAAGACTCGATATAAACATGTATGTTATGAATTTATGTTTTTAGTGTTCCGATAAAATTGATAAAGAAAATTGCAACAATGGTCCCTACGATTTGTGATTTTTGGTGGTTGTCGTGTAAAATGTTTTTGACTTGAGCCAATAGTTTAAAATTGGATTTTTTTTTTTTTTGATGTTTTGGTCTTCAACAAACTTTTAAAAAAACTTATTACATACCTTATTTTTTTTATTATTGTCTATTATTTATTTTAATACTCTTGTACATATTTTTGAAAGATTTTATTATTATTAAATAAAATGAGGTTCACACCCTACCCAACCCCTCTCCCTTAAACCGAATGTAGTCTTTTCTATCTTTCTTTATTATGTAGACACTTTTCTTTCTCTACTATTAGAGATTCAATCGACCACCTCCCACCATTGACAACTGCAATCTTTATCGATCTTTATCGATTACCTTTCTCTTTTTACCTTGTTTACAAAAGATCCAACAACATCTGCCGCATTCACTAGTCTTCACCCTCTACTCCACGAACTGTTTTTTTGTTACCGTTTCACCATCATCAACCTATCTATTCGTTGGAGAAAACCACCCTCCATCTCTTTTTGTTTTTCCATCATCCCTCTCTTTTGTCATCATCATCGTATACCATAACCACCATCATTTGTAACTCTGTTACCGAGACCCAATTTTAGTTTTTTTTTATATCAATTCTTTATTTATTACATTTTTGTTGATCGATTTTAGGTTCTTTAATTAATTACAGGTTGAATTTTCTCTTTGATTAATTGTTTTCATAATTCATACTATGTCTTGACTAACTCAAGTGAAAGAGACAAAAGACTAAAATTTTGGTTTTTGAATTATAATATTTATTTTTTGGTTGGTGCCAAATTGAAATGATAATAATTTTAAATCTAAAATCAATAGAGTAATAATAAAAAGAGAAATTAATTGGAAAGAAAATTAAAAAAATAATTATTTAAAGGTAGATTAGTGATTTTAAGTTTGGCAATTTTTTTACTAAAAAAGTTCAGGGACCAAAAAAGAATCCAACGTGCCCAAATCGTTTTTTTTTTCTTTTTCTTTTGATCGAAAGCACTTCACAAACCACAAACATAAGGACTATTTTTGCAATTTTCTCTTGAAAATACAATGTTATAAAATTTTCATGAAAGCGTTCAAAGAAGAGGGGTAAAAACGTAAATTACTCCCAAACCACCGCCGCAGAATAAATCTTCAGTTCCTCCATGCCCAGAGATCAAATCTCACTCTCTTGACACTTTCGTCGACGATCTACTCAACCAACGGTCAAAGCTTGTGTCTTTCTCCGGCCATTCTCTTTCTCCGGTATGTCGCTATTACGATCTGTCGATAGTTGTTTATACCCCTAATCTTCTTATCGTTAATTTGCCCTAATCACATTTTAATAGCAAATTGCAATTCGAATCCTTTGCTTTTTGTTCGAGATCATTCGATCGTTTACTTCATTTCTCAACTGATGAAATCAGTAACATCTATGATCCAATCGGTTAAAAATTAGCATGTAGCAGTGTAAATCAGCTTAATTCTCGATGGAAATTGAAAACGGGAACTGCAATCCGGTTTCACTTTTTTCGATTATTTTCAGTTCAATCAGTTACTAAATGCTGTCTGAACTGAATCGAAACAGGAGATCATTAGCTATTCGATCAACAAGTTGCCTCTCTCTTCCTGATTATCGCAACATGACAGCCATTGATGCTGGTAAATCTCCTGTTTTCTCTCTCTGTTTACATACTTATAACTTAATCTATACTTCTAACACTCGATTGTTCTGTCTCAGTTACCTCAAAACTTGACAAATCCGGCAAAATCTTCGTCGCCGGCCACCGCGGCCTAGTCGGATCTGCAATTGTACGCCGCCTGAGAACCGTCGGCTACAACAATCTCATCCTCCGGTCACACACCGAACTAGATCTCACCAACCAATCCGCTGTCAAAACATTCTTCTCTCTCGAAAAACCTCAATACGTGATCCTCGCAGCAGCCAAAGTCGGTGGAATCCACGCCAACAGCACCTACCCCGCCGATTTCATCACCATCAACCTCCAAATCCAAACAAACGTCATCGACTCCGCCTATCGTTATGGTACAAAAAAACTCCTCTTCTTAGGTTCTTCCTGCATCTACCCTAAACACGCCCCTCAACCCATCCCAGAATCTTCTCTTCTCACCGGACCTCTAGAACCCACCAACGAATGGTACGCCATAGCCAAAATCGCCGGAATCAAGATGTGTCAAGCGTATCGGATTCAACACAAATGGGATGCAATCTCCGCCATGCCTACAAACTTATATGGTCCGAATGATAACTTCCACCCAGAAAACTCCCATGTGTTGCCGGCGTTGATGAGGAGGTTTCATGAGGCGAAGGTGGCAGGAGGGAAGGAGGTGGTGGTGTGGGGGAGTGGGGCGGCATTACGTGAGTTTTTACATGTTGATGATTTGGCGGATTCAGTGGTGTTTCTGTTGGAGAATTATTCGGATTTAGGGCATGTGAATGTGGGAAGTGGGAAGGAGGTTTCAATTAAGGAGCTTGCAGAAATGGTGAAAGAGGTTGTGGGATTTGAAGGGGAGATTGTTTGGGATAAATCTAAACCTGATGGAACTCCAAGGAAGCTTATGGATTGTTCTACGATTGCGAAGATGGGTTGGGAACCCAAGATTTCTTTACGTGATGGGCTTGTTGGGACTTATGAATGGTATGTTGGAAATGTGGTCAAACAATGACACAAAAAGTCAAACTCTTGGTAAGTTAGTAATAAACTTGTTTTTGTTAATTGTTATTTAAGATTATTGATATTGAGATTGTTATGTTGTATCATTGTTAAGAATGGAGTTATGTTACTTGAAACAGTTTATAGTGAAATACTACTCAAGACTATGCTGCTATGTTGCTATTTCTTCTTCTGTGCATGTTCACTTAATAAGGCATGAAATAGCAATGTACTTTTTTTAAGTGACTAAAGTATGTTGCTATTTTTTATTTTTATTTTTGCATTTAACTTGAAGTAATATATATCAATGTGCTTTGGTTTTTAATTCATGAAATTGCAATGTACTTTGTTTATATATTTCATTCAACTTGAAATAAGATGTCTATGATGGTTAGTTTTTCAATCTTCATTGTTTGTGATGATAAATAGGGAATGGGCAAATGGAAATGTAATTTCATGGAAATCATGAAATTGCAAGGTACTTTTTTGGAATGTAAACTTGTCAAAAGAAAACTAGACACCATTTGAACACCTTCACGAACAAACACAATCACACATAGCACCTTAGTCGCTATTTGGAAATGTTTAACGAAATTCAGCTAAATATTGTAGCTGAATTTTGGATAGTTATTATCCATTGAGATCCATATGTAATCGTAAAATATTTAACGGGTAGGATTTAATCTGGCCATTGATCGGATGGATGTGGTTTCTCGAGCAGATAGGAACCATTAATATATATAATTTCACAATTTTATTGATTTAGCTATTTACTAATTTATGTAATTATTAAATAGTTTTTTTCCAGAAAAAAAAAAATTAGACATTATCATCATAATTTATACTGTACTTTCAATGTTTTATGATTTAGTTGTCTTTTATCGATTTAGCTATCAAAATGCCATTATCGTAAAACTAATAATTTGATGAACGGATAGATAAAACGATAGGATATATTTTGCTTTTATGTAAAAACCATATAACCGGAAAAATAGTATTTTTAAACGATTCGAATATATAATGGTTTAATTGTTGTGGAAAATATTTAAATGATCAAATTGGTAAAGTAATAAAAAGTACATTTGTGTTTTACTCGGTTATTATTCAATTATTGGGATGGGCGCGGGTTATTAATCTTATATTTTCAACATCATTTCTGTAATATAAAAATGTATAGGATCCATTTTTGTAAATCTTATTTGAAACACGGGGATCGTGTAGGGAAATCACAAATCAGGAACCATTTTATAATTTTGTGAAATATATGGACCATTATGTTATTTTGGTCTTAGGTAGTACCTTTTTCTGTAAATTTGGGTAGCAAAGGGACCATTGCTGTAATTTTACTATTAAACAAAGACAAATTCTATAAACTTGTGAAACATTGGGATTATTTTTGTATCTTTGTGAAACAAATGGACAATTTCTATAAATTCGCTGTTGGGAAGGGGCTGTTTTTGTAACTTTGTGGAAAACAGGGACCATTTCTCTAAATTTGGTATTAGAAAGAGACCATTTTTGTAATTTTATATAGCACAAAGACCAATTATACAATATTTCATTAAGCAGGAGCCATGTGTAAATGTGCACATAGACCATTTTTGTAGTATTTCTATTAAACAGGGACCATTTATGTAAATATGCTTGTTTTCCTAAATTGGCCTGTTAAATAATTGTATAATGGAATTTTGAGGTTGCATTAAATAAGTTGGAATAAAAAAAAAAAAGCTGTTTTAGTTTTATACACATGGTTTTCTTCATTCCATATTTTTATATTTTTTGATGAGAAAGAGAAATCAGTAAAACGATGTCGTTGTACTCCAAACATAATAACATATGTATCAGGTGGCGGATAAGTTGGCGAGTGTTAGTGCCAATACCTTCACCCCATTTTCTATATCTCCAGGGGACGCATACTCCTCAGGTTTATGACTATACCCTGCAAAATTAATAATACAATTTCTTTTAAATTTTATCCACCACAAATTCCACAAATTGCAATTTTATTAAACACAGTGTATACAATACAGATATGGACAAGGGAGTGTACCTTTATAACATGGAATGAATATCATGCCCATGGGTGCTTTTCTGCAATCAACATATATAATTGTTTTTTTTTTTTTTTTTTTTAATTTGAAAATATAAAAGAATAAGTTAAAAATACCTACCTGGCCATAAAGAGTGAATCATGATAAGCTCTACTAATCATCTTCTTACTACTCAAATTCAAGACTTGAGTGGCTGATTCCATTGCTTTGATCACTAATTCATTTGAAAGCGCAGGTGGATCTTGGTTCACAATTCTAAACCCTAAAAGCTCAACACCTCTCCTTTTCGATATCATCACAGCAGATTCATGGATTTTTTCAATCACATTATTTCTTCGCTTTTCATCAATATCTCGTGTATCTGAAAACAGATTATAAATTTATTTTAGCAATATTTTAAGTTTCTTATTACTTTTTGAATTTTTTGTGGTGTATTATATAATAAGTGCACCTATTTCCATGTGTGCTTTGCTAGGGATGCTGTTGATTGCTCCAGGATGCAACTCCAGTATACCTTCAAAGATAATACAAAAACATCATTTTAACTTTTAAGGATAAATGATAATGAAAGTGATTTTTTAAAAAAAAAAAAAAAAAGATTACCAACAGTCCCAACAGTGTCTATGGATCCAGATTCAAGAACATGTTTTTCCACAGCTAGTGCCAGCTCAGCAGCAGCCAAACCTGCATCATTTCTATTCCAAAATTGTGTATAAGACTCAAATATGTCATACAAAAAATAAAAACAAAAGTTATGAAGAATTGTTTATTTTATTACCTTTGAGGCATTAAAGCAGCTCCAGCATGGCCTCCATTTCCTCCAAAATCAACTTTAATGCTTGCAGGAGCAGCAATAGCAGTCACAATACCAATAGAAATTCCTTCATTTTCCAAAATAGGTCCTTGTTCTATATGAAGTTCTACAAAAGCTGAATATCTTTTATCATCTAAAAACACAGTGGAAAAGTCGTTTTTTTCTGCATATCCAGCAGATTTTGCAGCTTCCATGAAGGAAATATTGTGATTGTCTACAGTTTGCTTAAGAGCTGTAGCAAGTGAGACACTTCCAGCTAATAATCGGCTGAAAAAAGAATTAGATAGGTATAAGAAAAAAAAAGATTAATTGGTGACTTATCTTTCGTTCTATAATCAAACTTCCGAATTGTTTTTTTTTTTAAATAAGAAAAAAAAAAAGTACAAACCTTCCTAAACAACTGATGCCATATCTTGTAGGCTCTTCTGAGGTAAACATGATTACTTCTAAAGACCTTTTAGGCTTAAATCCAGATCTGTAAATTCCAAAACATCAAGATAAAACAAGACTTTAGGTGGCAAAAAACACAAAAAAGAAACAACATTTGTTCTCTTTCATTTCCTCAAGTGTAGTGTCATTTTCTCAATTAATTATCTTTTATGTAAGTATTTGAAAAAAGAAACAAACATTTGTTCATACAACACCACCTCTTTAGTACATTAATGGCTTCAATGGCACCCAATACACCAACTACCCCATCATATTTCCCAGAATATGGAATAGCATCAATGTGAGATCCTGTTGAAACAGCAGATAGATCTGGTTCACTACCTTCCCTGTAGTGTATAGAATCAAACAAGATCAAAAGTCAACTTTAAGAGGTTGACTTTAGTACAAAATATTCTATGTTATAAAGAGAGACATAGCAATTAGCATGATGCTAAAAGTAGTACAAGATATTGTTTAAGGCATACAAAGAAACTCACCACTGACCAAATATATTGCCAACAGCATCTTCCCTCACAGAAAGACCAGCTTCTTTCATCAACTTCTTGATGAACCTAAATGGAAATTGACAAAAAAAGATTCAAGAAAAAACAAATAATTATAAACAGATTTGTGTTTCTTCAACAGACTAACCACTTTTCTGCAATTAATATATAGATTGTTCATTATAGAATATAGAAGATGTTCCTTTTCAATCAAAACTATAACTAACTTCATAAGAAGATCATGAACAAAGTATGATAAGTTAAAATATGTATTTTGCAAATCTTTGTAACCAAAATAAAAGATAAACAATCTGCAATAGACTAACATTTTACATAGACTTCAGATATAACAATTCCATAGGGCAATTATCGTTTTTAAGGCTTAATTCTAATGATTATAATCGATTACATACCTTCTAGCCAGTACATCATTTTCGCTGTACAAGATCCTTGTTACTGAAGGGGCTGGTGAATCCGAGAAACTTGAAAGTTCATCAATCTGTTTTCAATTTTAACAATATAAGTAACTCATTTGATCATCAAAACTCGAATTTGGAGTTTGCTGGGATGCGGAGTGCAGTTGATGCTTGAAAAGAACGATTATCATTCCTACTGCTACTGCTACTACTACGAATTCAGTTCGGCATAAGTGAAATATCGATGATGAATAGAAGCAGAAAACGACTGGATTATGAAACTGAATGATAAATCACCTGTTTCTGAAGATTTACAGAATCCACCGCGAAGGAAGAGACGGAGTCAATTTCATGAAGTGGATATCCGGAGAATTCCTCCATTGTTTTGATTGTTGAGTCCATTTCATCAACATTTTGAGCTTGTACGCAAGCGATGAAGGTAACGAAAAGAACATAGAGGACAAGACGGAATCTGAAAACCATCATTATCCTTGTTCGTTTGGGATTGCTGGGTTTAGAATTTAGATGAGTTTATAGTGTATAATTTAGTCACGGAGTGGAGAGATGAATCCGACTCCATTAATCAAAGGGGTTTATCGCATGTGGAGCAGATGATGACAAAGTACAAACAACTTTGCCTCTAAAAGCTCGTATTTTCTTCAATAAAATATCTCCATTTAAATTTCCTATGTCACCATGTGACCCAAAAGAAGATAACATTCAAAGAAAAAAAATTAATTGTATTGAAAACTGATAGAAATGATGGAGTTCTTTCATAATATTTGATAGAAATGAAATTAAACTATTTTTAAAGGTTCTAAATTAAACTGGTTTTCATGATAACTACATGTAATGTTGGTAGATTTTGAAACAAATTTTAGGGGTTAAAATAATTATATAAAGGTCTGACAAAAGTGCAAAAATGGTTCATGTGGTTTGTATTTTTATTTAGGAAAAATGTTCATACCATTCAACTTTTAAATTGATAGTTCTTTTGAACTAGTTTCCTTGCTTATTTGGTCCATTCAAAATATGAAAATATGAAATGTTGTAATATCCTTGATGTATTTAGAAAAAATTTCACGAATGGTCCTTTAGCTTTATCGTTTTTTCCTGAAATGATCTCTATGGATTTTCCTCCCTGAGATGCTCCCTATAGAGCAAATATTGCACACAAATGGTCTTTATCATGGATGTCCTTTAGATTGATCCGTTAAGTTGAATTTTTTTTGATAAAGACTATTTATGTCATTTTGTGAAACATGTTAGGGACCATTTGTTAAATTTTACAATGCGACCATTTGAAATATTACAATGTTAGTCTCTCACTTTTTTCTTTTTACATTTTCGACCATCTTTTTTATTTTTTTTTAATTCAAATTTCTTTTAAAAGTTTCTTTAATTTTTTCACAACTTTGTTATTATATATTTTTAATATATAAATAATTTTTGTTGTTTAAATTTTATCTAAAATATTCAAACCACAATATATAATTAAATATTTTCTTTTTCTATTTTTATCTAAAAAAATTTGAAGTATAAAAACAACATTTTATTACTTTTAAATTTTTATATAATACAAATATATTTATTTTTATGCCTCTAACACACCAAAGGGACTAAGATCTAGCATTACAAGCTTTTGGAGTTGCCCAAACTCACAAAAGAGAATTCATGGACCCAAAAGAACTCATAAGCAAACCCTAACTGTAACTATCAAAGAAACAATAAGGTATGATCTTTTTACCTTCAAAAAGCTTCCTAAAATGATGTAGATTCGGGATCTTGAAGCTCAACCATGTCCACTGCTTGCACACCAAGTTATTCTTCTTGCAAACACACCAAAAAGGCCACCAAAGTTACTTTCAAGCTCAAAGATCACTCTCAATAGCAAACTAGGGTTTTAGGGACGTTAATAAGCAGTGAAGGCTGATAAGGGTGAGGGTCAAAGAGTCATGCCCTAAAATTAGGGTTTTAGCATTGGCCACGTACACCCCACGTACGCCTCGAATGCCTTGCGTACGTGGCTCAGGTTCCCGCTTCCATATGCCCATGTACGCTAAGCGTACATAAACGTACGCCCAACGTACGTGGGGACTCCTTTCAAAAATTAATTTTTTGCTTCAAGGGTTAAAAGGGAAAATACATGGGTCCAAGTGTTACAATTTTAACCACAAGGCAGGTGAATGGTTGTGATCAATGGGTGTCATAATACATATTTGATATATATTAATATGAATACTTTTGTTGGAAAACTTTTTATTGTACATTAGTTTGAAATTATATTTGTTTTTTGTTGTTAAGTTGTTACTTTTAAAAAAGTTTTATTTAATTATTGTGTTAATAACTTATCATATCATATCATACTATATTATAAAGGAAACATTTTTTTTTCACCACGTTCATTTGAAACTCACATGCATTTTTCCTTTCACCACATTCATTTGAAACTCCCATGACTTTTCAATTTCTTTCTAATAATGATTATAAGTTGGTTAATAAGATTAAATAAATATCAAACCTAAAGTGTAATCATATATAAACTAAATTTCAATATTAAAAGAATATCTTTACTTCTACTTATAAAGTTAGGTTTTTTTTAACTGTTTACATATTATACTTAATTTATTAGTTTTAATAAATTGTTGGATGTAAACCATTATTATTTTAAACCTACAACTTTTGAACAATTTGTATAAAATATTTAAATTATAAACTTAAATATAACATTACAGGACAGACTTAAATATAAATTTTAGTTTAACTTAAACAACCCAAATAATATTTTGTAAATAGTTAAAAGTGATAAATTATAGTGTCTTTCTAATAATGATTATAATTTGGTTAATAAGGTTAAATAAATATCAAACCTAAAGTGTAATCATATGTAAACTAAATTTCAATATTAAAATAATATCTTTACTTCTACTTATAAAGTTATGTCTTTAACTTTTAACATATTATACCTAATTTATTAGATTTAATATGTTGTTGTATGTAAACCATTATCAATTTAAAGCTACAACTTTGGAACAGTTTGGACAATATACTTAAACTGTTAATTTAAATCTAACATTACGGTGTTAATTTAAATATAAATTTCAGTTCCATTTAAAAAAACCCAATGAATATTTTGTGAATAGTTAAAAGTGATAAATTGTAATGCTAAATGCAAAAACTAAATTATAATATCAATTTAACTAAAATATTCCCTAAAGATATTTGTATAATCGTTAAAAGTTTTCAAATAAGTGGCTTAAAATAACTTACAATAACAATAATTAAAAATAACTTTATATAAATGATTATATTTTTACCTTTAAAATCAAAAAACAATGTCTGATGTTTTAAATAGTTATAATGATAGAAATTAAAATGTTAAGAAATTAAATTTAAAAAATTAATTAACAATAAAAAAACTATAAATAACATTAAGCTATATATTATATTTAATTTTATTCATGAGTAACTCGCGGGTAGAAGTCATTCAAACGGTTGAGATTATACAGTTATAATAGATGTAACGCCCCGATCTGAGTTAGAATTTCAGGTCGGTGATATGGTACTCCTGAAGGTATCGCCCTGGAAGGGTGTGATCCGCTTCAGTAAGAGGGGAAAATTAGGCCCCCGATATATTGGGCCGTTCTGGATCATTTTCAGGGTTGGCAAGGTGGCTTATAGGTTAGAGCTACCAGAGGAGCTTAGTCGGATCCACAGCACTTTCCACGTGTCGCAGTTGCGAAAGTGCATTATGGATCAGGAGTCAGTGTTGTCATTGGATGATATTCAGGTTGATGAGCGCCTGAATTATGTGGAGAGGCCTGTGGCCATACTGGAAAGAAAAATGAAAGTTCTTCGGAACAAGGAGATACCTTTGGTGAAGGTACAGTGGGAGCATCGGAGGGGGTCCGAGTGGACGTGGGAGCCAGAGGCAGAGATGCAGGAGCATTATCCGGAGTTGTTCGCCACGGCAGACTTCGAGGACGAAGTCTAGTTCAAGTGGGGGAGAATTGTAACGCCCCGATTCTCAGGTATTGATTTAATATAAGAGTTTTCTTGATTTCAAGGGCTACTCGACGAGTTGGTTGCCCTACTCGTCGAGTAGCAGCGGGTTGGTCCACGCGTTTTAGTGACCTACTCGCCGAGTCCAAGAAGGGACTCGACGAGTAGGAGCTGGCAGATGAAACCCTAAATTCCGGGGTATTGCACCCTATTTAAAGGATCATTGGCCTTCCCCGGCCTCCCCTTTTACTGCTTCTTGTCCCTCTCAAACCCTAATCGAGTGTGTGTGTTCCATTTGTGTATTCTTAAGCTTTGGAAGAGGATTTTTGGAGAAAAGAGCTTGGAGAGCAAGTATCCAGAAGCAAGGAACGTGTGGGATCTGAAATCTATCTTAGTTGGCATCTTCTGGAAGGTATCAAATCGCTATCTTGACCTCATTTCATTTCTAGATCCCTTTTGGGTAAATTTTAAGGCTTTTCTAGTATGTTTGGAAGCTTTTCTTGGGTATAAGCTAAGATCTGAAGTTGTAACTTCAGATCTGAACTCTCTTGGGCCTTCAAGTCCATAAAGCTTCCAACTCTTGCAAGAATGAGGCTCTCCTAAGGTGTAAAGCTCCATTAGAAGCTTAGATTAGTCATTTAGAGTCTCTAGGGCCTTGCATGCACGTAAAGTTTGCAACTTTACGTGATAAACATGCCTTAGAAGCTTGGATCTGCAATATGGAGTCGCTGCATGGCTTAAAAAGTACCTGTATGGATGAAGGTCTAAAGAGACTCGTCGAGTTGCATAGTCAACTCGACGAGCCACGTGAAGATGGTCTTATACCCGATGAGTTGGATGAACAACTCGACGAGTCCGATGAATATTGCCTTGGACTCGGCGAGTCAGTCGAATGACTCGGCGAGTCGGCTAGGGTTTCTCTCAACCTTTGGACACCCTTTGGACACGTATGAACTCGACGAGTTATAGGAAGGACTCGACGAGTCGGTGAACTGCACTCGACGAGTTGGGTCAACATGGACTGTTGACTCTGACTGTGGACGTGGACTTTGACCAAGGGTTGACCAGTTGACCTCTGGGGTATTTTGGTAATTTGGAAATTATGAAAAAGGGTTTTGTGGTAACTTTAGGTGGAGGAGTTCGTGTTGGTGATCCGAGAGTTGAGCTTATCACTTCAGTGCGACACTTGAGAGGTGAGTTATCCTCACTATACCAACAGGGTCTAAGGCACCAAGGCCGACCCTTTATGGATTTGTATTCAGATTATTACATGATATGTTTATTGTTTTGCATCCTGGTAGTTAGGATGGTGATGATGCTATGTTAGTGACCTGGTTAGGTCGGTATCCTGGTTGTAGGATTATGCTATGTTAGTGACCTGGGTAGGTCGGTGTCTTGGTTATAGGATGTTGCTATGCTATTTGATCTGCTAGATCGGTTTGAATGTTATTATGATAGCATATGATATGTATGTACACATGTTTGTTTGATTGGGGGTTAGGTTGAGGCGGTCCTGCTTTGTGCTGAAGGTCAACATACCCAGGGAGGTCCGGATATACTACAGACCCAGGAGGGTATGCTAGTCAGACCGAAGGCCCGACGAGCGGTCCGGATAGACTGTAGGCCCTGCGAGGCGGTCCAGA